CAATCAAGGAACATTTTTTGTGACGGTGGAACCAAAATATTTTCAAATTCAGGCATAAAAAACATCATTTACTGATACAAGTTGATTTTCTATGTATTTCACATAGTTTGTTCTTATTAAGAACGCCGTTCCTAATAAGAACAAAAAGATATTTTCCAAAAATTTAACATCTTAATCATTATAAGTGACGAAAACTTACACCAGGAAATACATTTTCCTTAATTGATAAGAAACATATTTTGTTCCACAAGTATATCGAAATTTTGAATCTTAGGCAGTGAAATCAATGATTTATTGATTTTTTTCAATTTCAACTGATTCTTTGTTACCTGTTCTTACTAGCCACATTTTTTTTGTTACTGCTCGTAGTAGAAACCATGCTCCTAATAAAAATCTATTCAACTATTTTTAGTTTACCACTAATTACCTATCTATTTTTCGAGACAAGTAACGTTCGTCGGTTCGACTTACTTCATCCTCGACTGTATCAGACAGAATTATACAAGTCTCATCCATGGACACCCAGTTATGAAACAGCTGATTAAGGGAGAACTTATCACATATGTCGGATTGACTGAATTTTCAGTCTGAAAAATTGAATTGGTTGAAAGTTCAACATTAAAAGCACGAGAATCGAACACTTAGCCAACGTTTTTTATGACATTTCACCTTTCACTCTGACTAAAACAGACGAAAATTTATTTTACTTCATATAACCCTTCCTACACTCGAGAAAACATTATTTTCTCAAAAAAACCTTTTCTCCTAAACCAAAAAAATTCAATTCAAAACTTTCAGAAACTAGCTTTAGATTCAGATTCTCTGACCTTGATTTACTTTCGTCAACCTTTATAAAATGTCGTTATTTTCTCAAAAAAACCTTTTCCTCAACCAAAAAACTGAATTTAAAATATTGAAAAACTAACTGCAGATTCAGATTTCCCTATCCCAATTTACAACTGACACATTCATCTTTAAGCCTATGTTCTTTTAACCCTGATGTTCTTTTGACCTGGCGACAAGACGACAAACTATTTTATTTCATATGACCCTCCCTTCAGTCGAGGAAATAATTAAATAATTTTTGCATCGTTCGATGCAGAAAATATTTCTCCACTTTAAAGTCTAATACTATCTACACATTTATTTAAAATGCTTTAGTAAAACCCAAAATTCATTTCACATCTTAAATAACCGTTCTTATCAGAAACATCGACTGTAGAAAACTTTCTATTTCAACCTTTTTCATATAAATGAAACTTCGAATGGATTTTTTTATTTCAATTTTATTTGCTAAATTTTCGGTTTTTTCTTACCATCATCAGAAACATGTAGAAAATTTCTTGATGCAGACACGGCGTAATTTAATTTGTAGATCATTACCATTTAGAATAAGTTTAAGATATGTATCATGCTTTGTTTTGTTCTCACATATTTATTCTGATAAGATACTGCGTTGTTATGTGTTGGATACATGTAATAGGTTTTGCTTTGTCAGATGCTATTTTGAATTCTATAATAATCTGAAAGAAAAACAGAGAAATGAAATAGAGGCGTTCGAAAAATTGTGAGTACTAAATCTTTAAATGTGTTGCATATTGAAAGTTCAAGCTGGCGAGATAAATTTATTCACATTTGATGTGTAATTTTTCTTAAGTGATCGATGACGAGTTTTTTTTTCTGAGTGAATTTGAACTTTGTTTTTATTTATATATCTAACTGTTCGTGCTTTTGGTGATTTCAACGTTTCTGCTGGAGATGTTTAGCAGATTGTGATTTATCAAAAAATTGTCTTTTTGTTCTCAGTGAAAAATATCCGAAAGAAAATTATGATTATTTTTTATTAACGGTGTAAAATTTTCAATTTTTCTATGAACTTCGAATTTTTCCAGAAAAATCCGGTTAAAGTTGAGTACAACTTGTAAATCTTTTGGAACAATAATCTGCTTCACTGATTGGTCTTGAACAGCTTAGTGGTAATCGGATTTTCATTGACGATCGTTTTTAATTGATTTTTGATATTATTGCACCATTGCAACTTGAAACAATATAATAGATATAACAGTTTCAACTTGCCTTAGTTTGTCCGAGTTTAGCTTTGTAACAACTTCGTCGTTCCTACACACGAGCCATTTAAAGCAATCCTGAAACATTGAAGTATCGTGTTCAGATATCAAGACAAGCGTTGACAGTTGGTATGTTTG